GAGCTAACGAGTGGACTTCGACTGAACGAACCGCCACGCTGCCATGCATGCTCGATGGAGAACGACGTAGGCCAACATCGTCTGCAGGCTCGTTGTAACAGTCCATCAACGCTTGCTTGCTTGCTTCGTCTACGCGAGTCGCGTGAAGGCATGCTTCGACCAAACGAAGCAGAAGTGAGCCTGGAAGTCCACCAAAGGAAAGGATGGCTCGTCTATGCAGTAAGACATAGTAAGACTCTTCCACGGGCTTTAACAGATTGACCCTGGTATTCAGTAGCTTTCCCTGCATGAACAGGCGGCAACAGGCATGTGTGAGCGTAATCTTAGGAACCGGATGTCCAGTGTTCAGTGGTCCTAATGATCCTGATGCCCCAAACCCAGATTGCCCCAGAAATCTGAGGTGCCCACTGCGAGGGAGGAGATTTTTTCTTCCTGCATCCTCAGCGGCTGCGGGCATCTGCCGGGCCAATCGATCGAAGGCAAAGTGAAGAAACGGATCGGTGCTGGGCTTGCGGCTAGGTTCCAAGCGGCGGAAACTCCGCCTGGACAGGTGCTTCGACGATGCAAGGACCCCTTCTTGGCACCCTCCAGATTGGAAATCTGACTTGGTGCACTGCATCAGCGGGCTGCAAGACCCTTGCGACTTTGCAGTTCATCCTTGTTCTTAAACAACTTCAACCCCATGTGCTGAATCCTCTGAGAACCCTGAACACACCCTCTTGAAGCTGCTTGAGGAGCTGCTGAGTTCCGGGCCCAAAGCGACGCAACGCTTTTGCTTGTCCCGCAGGCCGCACCTTTTTCAGAGGCTTTGGGCTTCCGGAATTGCCACGGCTGCTGGAGAAACCCCTCAACACAAATCCCACAACCACGATCATAGAGCAAGTGCTTCGTCGCCATGAAATCGTAGACAAAGAGATCACTCGGTACATGTGTGCCGACGTCACTGAGGCAACCACACTCCTGCAAATGGTTATCATTTTTGAGTGTGCACCTGGCAGGAGGCGTGGCATTGCGCTGGAATTGCTCAAACATTCTTGGCACTACGCAGCTTTTCCTCCGCGGAGCTTGCAAGTCCTCCTACGCGAAATCGGTCGCTTACTGCATATCGCATCTCATTCTACTGGGCCCCGAAAAACCCTGAGGTCAGGCATCTTCGTAGTACCTTAAGTCCACTGGTTTCCTCATCGTACCCTCCACACAATCACTGGTCGCAGGAGGACATTATGGTGTTTCCTGCTGTCCATCGGGGAAGCATGAAACAAGTGCATCTTTGGGAAGTGGGTGAACAGGTCTCTTCCATCTTGGCCTACAGTTGAGATAGCACTGGAACAGGTTGAGCTCCCAACTACACAAGCTCAATCTTATGAAATGAAAATTTCCAGAGCGAGACCGGCACAAGCAACCCCCACAAAACAAGATGGTCATCTTGGGTCCAAGCCGAAATCCTCTCCCTGAACCCCTGTTCTGCAGCAGGTTGCCTTGGGCATGTCCACTGCAACCCAGCTGAAGGGTCGTCATCCCTGGCAGGCGAGGTTGACATGAACTCGTGGTTGGAGGCTTGTCGCGGGGCCGCAAGCCCTTCCCGAAGCATACAAACGACTGCGACCTTTGCATCTACCGTCTGGCAAATTCGGGGGAGGATTCCAAGATCGTGCAACGCAACACTGCCGGATGTTGGCGTGCTCCAGACTGAGACCAGTCGTTGAGGTTGGTAGGACTATTGACTATCAAACATCAACCAGCTGAGCTCTCGACTCCGCAGCTGTGCCTCAGACATGGTCGGAGAGGTCCCTGGTCCCTTCGATTCCTACTGGACTCAACTCCAATCCGGTGTCCCTACGTATCCTTCCTGCGTTCCACTTGATGCTTTATGTGAGATAGTTAGGCGATAGCAAGCCGTGTACGCAGGGGATGCAGGAGCTTTGCAGTAATGCAGTCACGCACGGCGCAAGTAGATATCGGTCGAAGTCGAAATACCCCATAGCTTCTGCTTCTACGTGTGCTGGTACTACATATCAACTGCTTTCTTGGGCATTGCTGCTCTGGCTTTTTGCTGCTGATCGCATGAGCGCACAGAGGCAATGTCCAACCGCCGCAACATGTTGCGAGAGCTCTTCGGCAAACTTTGGCCAGTCTGCGGTATGGCATCCTTGCTATACAGCACATGATTCATGCACCCGTCCCCTGTCTAGCGAACGGGTGCCGGCAAAACGGCTGGCACTCGGTGGCTGTACAAAACCGAGTCCAGTACCAAAAGAGCTTCCACCAGCGCCTGTGGTGGCTATAGCTGCAAGGGTTACCTTGCAGCGCTCAGACAAGATTGCTTCTCCAGCTGGGCGGATGGCAGCATCCTTCCTTTGGACCTTGGCCTCAGAGCTCCCAACTGTCAAAGACCTGGGCTGAAGCCGTAATCTTCGTCTTGGACTGCATGAAGCTTGGACCCAAGAACTTCTGCCGCCGCTCCTTACGTTTGCTTGCTTGAGCGAAGGCAGCGTCAGTGCCTGGCTTGCACTGCGAGTACCATTCGTTATCCACAACGCAACTCCAGCCCTCTGCACAGCAGGTCGGACCATTATGGTTTCTTCCCCCACACTGCTGCCAGGCCTTTGCGCAGGACGGCTGTGTCGTGGTGGCTGCTGCTGTCGTGGTGGGCTTCACTGTTGCGACTTTGCTTGTGGTGGTCGTCGTGGTAGTCGTGGAGGCCGTAGGCGGCACTGGTCCGGTTGCTCCAGGATACACGGACTGTGTGGAACCGATTTCTCCAATTGCCACATTGGCAAAGGTGACGTAGCCCCGTGGATGCTTGCGGCGCACATTCCGAGGAGAGCTGTCCTCACCGCCTGGGCACATGCCACGGCGGATGCCTGGCTCGCTGCACTCCCTGTCTTCAGGGTAACAAGAGTCCAACCACATCATGTGGACATCGATGTCATCCCAGAGAGAAAATGCCGCAACGTGCCCGCGGCTCAAGGACTCGCCCATGGCTTTGTTGCCACCTTTCTCCTGAAAGTCGTTCTCGTTATCGAAAAGGTCCTTCATGTCTTTACAAGATTGGTCCGTGATGGAGTCTGGATAGCCTGGTGCCTTCGGAAGGATCGTGATGGATGGGCTTGCCACGGCACGGCCGTCCTGCACGTAGAAGCGGCGGATTTCTGAAAGATCGCCAGCATCAGTACCATCCGTTGTGAGGAACTGCGTCACGACGGTCATAGGCCTGCTAGAATCCACAGCAAAGTCCGCCCCCGGACCATAGAACGTTGTGTTCTGGTTCCGGAAAGGATTGATGTCGCAGCCATCCTTGTCACAAACACCGTCGTATCTCTCACCGCTGTCGTTGTCTCCACATTCAGTGCCGCTGCACATATACTGACCCGGAGAGTCAATGTCACATGGGTGCGGGGTATAAGCCGTTGCCATGTTGTTCGCCTCCCAAATGTCCATCTCCGCACAGCATGCGCCATAGTGGCCAAGGCCCATGGTGTTGCTGAAATCTTTGGGATGAGGCTTCCAATTCTTCGAGTTCGCCTTGCCGTCAATGAACTTCACATCGTGAGGGCACTGTGCATCACAGTATCCGGTACCATACTTGGCACCTGCAGCGTTGTGGCCAATGCCCTTGCCGCCATCAGCAGCCATCTCGATGAAGTACATCGCCCCATTCATGCCGCATTCCACGGCCGAGGAGTCCACATCCATGGCAAACTCGCGGTTCTTCAGCATGAAAAGCTTGTAGTTGTCATCATCTTCCAAGAGGAAAAGCCGAGATCCCACATTGGATCCGGTCACAAAGTTGAGACGAACACCGCCCGGAACTGGAGTGATACCGTAAATTCTCTCGTACTGCCTGTCATCCACTGCCTCCAGCGCGCAGTCCTTCGCACAAGCTTCCGGATCAGCGCAGATGCTTGTGTCCCACTCGTTGCCGTCATAGCAATTCCGGTACCCCTCAGTCGTGTGGATCCAGCGCCAGTTCGCATCCAGAACCAGCTTGTGCTCCTTGGTAGTGCATTGCCCTTTGGAGCATTCCTTCACTGTCATAGTTGGGCTTCCTTCGGACTTGAGGGTGCCAGGCTGCTGCGCAGCGCACAAGGGGAGCAGAAGCATCAAGGTGAGGAGAGCCATGGCAGTTCACCGAGAGGGTAGATGTGGTCCTTCAGCTTCAAAATGGCTGCAGTGAGATTTTGGCCAACTTCAGCGTTCAACAGAATTACCGTAGCGACCCTAACAGTGGCAGCATGTAATGCCAAAACAAAATGAATCGTTCCCCGTGTGCTCTGTGTCTGCGAAGTGCAGCATCCCCGCGTTCCATCCTTCACATTGCTGGTGTGACTACTTTTCTTTCTCGCGCGGAAAGTCCATGCCGTTGCTACTACCTTTGCCTGTGCTATCCACGGATTCGCTGGCAGTTCCCCTGCTCGAGATGCCCATTCCTACATTGGTTTGCATGTGTTTACAACAGACACATGTTACGACTCAAGCCACCCCACCAGACTCTTCATGTGGACACGCCTCCTACGACGGCGGATGCGTCGCGGATGCTGAGCAGATGAGTCTCCGGCTCTCCTCCTTCGCCTTGGCACCCGCGCCTCGGCCGCCGCGTCCGGCGCCGCCGCGCACCGCCTGCTTTCGCTTAGCTGAGCGGCGTCGTTTCAGGCTTCAGAATTTTACCAAAAGAGAGCGAAGCGCCCCAGGGCCGCTCTAGTCTCTGCCCTTGGGGGGGCCTTGGCTGCTGTAGGCTGCACCTGGCAGGCATCCAGAAAGGAAGAGCAAATTGCTTGCACAAGCTTTCACAGCAGAGCTTTCTGTTCAGCGGCTGCCTTTGCATTTTTCTTTGAATTCTGCTTGGTGTCCACCGTAATGAAATCAGCGAGCCTCAACAAACACACGCAAGCAGGCAGGAGACATAGAGCGAGAAGAACTCAAGAACAGCCTGAAAGGAAACGAGAATCCTCGTACCATGTCATGATGACAGGCTGACATACCGCACCTTGGTGGTATCATCATCTAAGGGGCTGAGACAAGCACGTGTTGTTCGGCCGCTGCGGCTGGGACTTCTGTTGGCTTGGACCTGAGCTTGGGGGTTTGGAGGTTCACGGTTCAGGCTTCAGGGCTTCAGGGCTTCAGGGCTGAGGGTTGCATCCCGATTCCGGTGCGCAAAGTCTGCTGGTGCATCATCACCCCCCGGTCTGCGTTGCTCTTTTGGCGACGCCGGAACTAAGCGGATAGATAAACGCCGATTTTGTCGAGATATCAGAAACCGCAGCTGCAACTCTTGTTGTGACAAAGGTCCCGGCCGGATCCAAAATCCTTCTCGAAGTGCTTTTTCAGCGCTTTGGCCCTGGGTGGCGGCACGATGCAGCTGCCATCAAAACTGCTACAGATATAGACATCCCGAGGCAAACGCAGAGAGGCACACCAGCAAAACGACAGCAGCTTTGATCAGCTCTGCTCAATCTGAGGCTCTCGCAGGCTATCCCAATTCTGTTCATCACTCTGTTGCGAGAAGACGGCACCACCTCGAAGGCAGCATTCCGGAGTCTGGGCGGACACGTTCCCAGCACTCCATCTGAAGCCTGTCGTGTCGGAGTTTCAACCCTTGTGCCTGACGCAGCACAGAAGTTGAGGTAGTCCAGGTAAAAATGGTAGATGCAGATTGTCTGCTCGCTCAGAGCCTCGCAGCGGGGCGGGCATGCGTTCGTTTCTTGCGAGCCGTGGGGGCCCTAAGCTCGGGCGGCGCATCAGGGAGTACTGGAGCTGAGCCGCGCACCCTAAGCTCCTGCGGACTCACCGCAGCGGAGCCTTGGCTGCGCATCCTGGCAGCGTCGGTTGAAGATCTGACGTAGAGTCCCTCCTGGGTTTAGGCTTTAGGGCTTACGGAAGAGATGAAGATAACAGGCCGGCAGGGCAGCTTCACGATGGCCTCTTCTGCCTTTTTGTGCGTCTTGAGGACCTGAGTGCGAGGCAGACAACGTGCAGAAAATATCTCGAAGTGGACTGGATCGACTGGCCGCCAAACGGTATCCATATTTGGAGTCCACGCTCAGGTTTTCGATCCATACAAGCCCCACCCAATCTCGAAACTCCGACGAAGTATCCGAATCCAAATCTGGCAAGCGACCCTAGACAAAACATTCAGTTACGATCTACTGAGGCCCCGCTCGCCGGAATCTTTCAGTACTGGCAACTACGAATCGCTTACCTCGGAGAGCGTCTGCTTCTGGCCGCCCTTGCCGCGCCCTGCTATAGAGGGACATGGAGAGCTTGGGATTCAGCAGAAAACCCCACCATCCCTTCAACACCTAAATAAACAAGGAGAAGGCCCGCTAGGCTGCGTGATGCTGCATGGGGTCGCTTGGTTTTCGCTTTTCGCCACTCACTCCTGCTTTGTCGTGCATCCTCTACCTCGCAGCATCGTACTTCTTGCTGCTGGTCATGTTACTGATTGCTGGTACTGATACATACTTCGCTTCTGCTGCTGCTGCTGCTGCTGCTGCTGCTGCTGCTGCTGCTGCTGCTGCTGCTGCTGCTGCTGCTGCTGCTGCTGCTGCTGCTGCTGCTGCTGCTGCATCACCGTTCTGCGCAGTGCAGTGTAGCTTATAGAAACATAAGCGGTTTGTCATGATAACACATCATGAATTCAGTGCAACAGCTGTTAGGTGCTACAGCTGAATATAAATATACACACACACCACATTAAAGCCCCCCTAACATTTCAGTTTAGCCTCACTGTCCATGTAAGCATAGGTATCAGGACGGCCGATCTGGACAGAAGCATGAGCAGCAGTGCAAGTGCACGTTTAGCTGCCATCGTAAATGAATCGAACGACGACGGAAAACAAAAACGCATGACGTTGCACCACTCGGTATGCTTCTATCAAACTTGTCGTGGTATAGGTTCGCAGACAGTGATGTCTGACATGTCATGATAAGAACATCTACGCACATAACAGCATCTGTTCATAAACATCCGAAAGTCTGGCTCCAACTGTACGTGTGATACATTGCTTTACACTACACAGACTACAACAAACGGATTACGTAGGTAAGGATGCCAATAGGTCATTCTGCCTTGTACTTGCGCGGGTTGCCCTGCTTGTGGCACCCGCTTTGCACCGGGAAAGGAACGGTACAAACACAGTAAAATGTGAACCCCGACACCAACGACATGCGCATAAAAACACCAGATCAATCACCACAGCTGCAACCAACACTCGAAACTAGACCTCAAGCCAGGACGTGAAATCTGCTGCAAATAACTATGTACACTCATGGGCACCTTGCTCGCGCATAAAACTCCGACATGCACACAACAGCCGGAACCTCAAAGCTCCAAATCAGAAACCTACACTCGAAACCCAAGAACCCAAAAGCCTTAACCCCACCCCTAAACCCTGAAAAATCCACACTCGCAACCCTCAAACCCGAAAACCCAAACAACCCCGAGAGGTCCTCCCATGCTCCAAGCGTTGCTGCAAAGACGGAAGCCCCAAAACCCCCAAAACCGTCCCCCAAAACCCCTCAAACCTTTGAATCCCAAACCCGAAACCCCAAACCCTAAACCCGAAACCCAAAACCCTAAACCCAAAACCCTGAAGCCTAAACCCAAAACCCCAAACCCGAAACCCCAAACCCTAAAAACCCAAACCCCCCCGGGCCTCGGCCCTTTGCCTCGACCGAAGGGTTGAAGCCGGCCTTGGGGGGGGATCGCAGGAAAGGAACCATGAAGTCCGCAGATATCTTAGTGGCTTTTGGGAGCATTTTGTAGGTGGTAGTTGGGATTTTGAAACTCCCATTCACGGCTTGTCCGTCCGATAATACCTGCATGTACGGGTGTATACATATACCCTTCTAGACATGACAACAATCGGAAGAGCTTGTGCTTGTGGAAGGTCACAGTGTTGGGCCTGGGGCTTGGCATGTTTAGGCATGTCAGCCTTACGGCTTATCTGAGGCTCCACACGGGGCCCTCCCTAAACACAGTTTTGCTCCGTCGGAGAAGGGAAGTCTGAACGCTCGGAAAGGCCCATGAAAGCCGTCTCGGGCCGCAACGCTGGCTCCCTTGCCCTCGACCGCTCCTGTGGACGAGTTCCCTAGACGCGACCACGAGCTCCAGGAAAGGCAAGATTGGGCTGTAAACTTTAAATCTGCATCTCTGCAGCATTCACGTCCATCCCAGCATGAGGCCATGCCCCTCCCGTGCCTGGCATGCCGTAGGCTCCGTGACCATTTCTGTCCTACCGAGAGACAATCGCAAGCAACAGCCAACACAAGACACTCGACAAGTGATATCAACCGCATCTTGGCCGATGCCCTGGTGCTCTCAGTCCTTGCCCTCCTGTACATGTGATGTCATGGCGCCAGGCGGCCGCGGCGCAGCTGGCCTTGGATTGGCCACTTCGAAGCGGCTCTGCAACGCATACGATATGAGTCATATGACGGCGGTTCCCTTCTGCCACAGGCGCTGAAGTGGGAATCCCGGGATTTAGACGAGAAGAAGCTTTAACAAAACCGCTGCCCCGTGGCACCTACATGCAAGATTCATGACAATACATCTCGGCTGGCATTGCATCTGAGAGAACCCGATCTCAGACACCCGAAGCAGCCTGGCATGCACCTCCTACCGAATCTTAAATCATGTGTTTCCGGAATATATGACATTTCATGAAGATTCGGGGCTCCATACCGTGGCACGGTGCACTGGCTTAACGGAACGATGACAACTCTGGGTGATCTTTGTCTGGGTCCGGAGCCCACCCTTGCCCTCGTCGCCCATCCTGTGACCACAGACCGGGCCGCCTGGCGCATGCAAAACGCATGCGCTCGTACGTGCAGTTAGACAGCGCAGCCAAGTAGACTGAAACCGAGAGTTCCAGGGTACAGTAGCAGACTCGGCAGTTGTTCGGAAGACAGTTGCTGATACCGACAATAACCAACACTCTGAGCCCCTTGACTTTGATACACGCTGCTATGAATTCAGGATCATTTCCCTGTTGAAAGGTTGCTTAGGCTTTCTGTTTTTTGAGACCTTGGACACTCTGACCGATTTTCATGGCCGTGTCTCGGAGCCACCTGAAGCTGCTACTATGCGACCTCTCCTACCCCAAGCCTGCATAACTGGCTGAACACACATCAAGCCTCAATCGGGAAACCCAAGACTGCTCATAGTAGAAACTGCCTACTTCGGCACCTCCATGCTCTTACATATGCCGACTCCGTGTTTACACATTCCCATCCCATGCAAACGAGTCGGAGACCTCTGGGTGGACCTGCAGGGAGATCCTGCCAGCGCGAGAAGGAACCCAATTCAAAACGTCCCTCAGCAGCCACACCACCACCATTTGTTGGCGCCACATTCTGCATCAAGGCAGAACTGAGCGGGAATGCTACACGACACTCTGACACGAACTACCTTCGACGTGCCTGACCTGCATGCTAATCGTACAGCCTGACCCACTCAACTCGGGCATGGCGAAACCTACAAACATCACCTTCAAGCTGGTTTCGTTCATTTTTGCTCGCGTCCCGCGGCGGTGCATGCAACTGCATCAAGCTATGTATTACTACCAATTGCCACCATAAGTATGCCGTGCATTGCCATTCGAAGGCTCGAGACACAAGTCGGTGAACATCGCCAGAGTCCTTTACCGTTTTGTGTTTACACAGAGAAATCTGTCAAACCTCCCAGAGATTCACAGACTGTGCTCTAACCGATCTAAGAGATCGTTCATCAGACAGCGTTGGCTGTCGGGATGGGCCTGCTGATGCCTGCGCCCATACAAGCAGCATGCCTGTAGTTCCACCGTATGCCTGTAGTTCCACGGAACACTTTCAAGTCGCAGAGTAACTTAGGATAGCGCTGTCCTCGTTCGATTATCTTTGCACAGCAGCAGACCCGTCCCGCTGACGTCCACACTTCACGCCTTATTCAAAGCTGCGACGGAGGAAGGAAAGACCGTCGCACAGATTCTCACCGAATTCGAGACAGCTATCTGTCGCGTTGAAAATTTTTGGCTGGTGCCGGACAACAAACCACAACCTGCACTGCAACGACCGAGCGTCAGTCTCTTCAATGCGCGATCCCGATACTACTCCTTAGAGCTGCAAGTGCTGAGTTGCAAAAGCTGCGATGCTTGCGACGGATGATGCCGCGACTTCATCGCTCGGATTTCTGCGGTATGTATATATATTCATGCAGCAGGGTACTCTGAACACTCCAAGCATACACCCTCTTCAAAGCTGCGACGGAGGAAGGAAAGGCCGTCGCTCAGAGTCTCACGGAACTCAAGACAGCTATCTGTCGCGTTGAAAATTTTTGGCTGGTGCCGGACAACAAACCACAATCTGCACTGCAACGACCGAGCGTCAGTCTCTTCAATGCGCGATCCCGATACTACTCCTTAGAGCTGCAAGTGCTGAGTTGCAAAAGCTGAGATGTTTTCGCGACTTCATCGCTCGGATTTCTGTGCAGTGTCATCGTATGTATATATTCATGCCGCACGGCTGGTGAACGAACACTCCAAACAAGGACAATGTGCTCTGCGAGTTCCATCATAAGGATGTCATAAGGATTTGATAGAGCGCCCAAACATTTCTGTGAAATTACATGTTCTTTCCCGGCCGCCACTGCAAACCAGCTTCCTTGAGGCTTGCCCTGTCCAAAACTGTAAAGGGCAGTAGGATCCTTCTCTGCCATGAGCATGGCAGACTCTCTTGTTCACCAACGGCGAGTCATGCCTGAAAGCGGAGCTCTGCAGCAAGTAAAGTGAGCTCTTCACAGACACTGTCCCGGCACCTGCGCTTGGCCAACGCAAGCAAACTCAGAATATTGAGATGCTGCAGGCCTTTCTTAAATTTCTTCATGGCCTTCACACCCGGCTGGGCTCCAGCGATTCCCGCAAACTCCGCTTCCTCTTCCAAGAGGTGCACGGCATCCCAGACGGTCGGCTTGGCGACCTCATCGCTGGCTTTCGTCTTCAACACCGCGGCTACGATCCACAAGAAGTCGCCATACGGCAACTGATGGACCATGGCACGCTGCTCCTTGTCCAACTTGACCTGACTCAAGCATTGCAGTCGCTGGCAGATAAATAGTTCAATCACCGTGGGGTGACTTACCTAGTCGCGCCTAGCAACCTGGATTTGCGTTTGTCAGGCCTCCCGCGGGTGTGGGAAGTGGCAATAGCCGCAGACACTGCCGTTTAGGCATTGACGACGAGCCATCATGTGCACACAGGGGCGGCGGCATGCGATTGGGTGGCCCAAGCTGCCAACGTTGACAGCTTCCGATGAAACCTCTGGAGCATCTGAAGCAGCGTCGTTGGCCTTCTTGCTTCCACTTGGCATCCGATTGGACTTACGAATGCTGCCAACGAGCCGGCTTTCATTCATCAGGCCCTTCAAGTAGTCTCGACAGCGAGCCGACTCGACCTCTTCTGAAAGCGCATCTTCACCAAGGTGACTCAGACAACCGGGACGCACAGGCGGTGGTGTCAGCGCCCGTCGAAGCTGGACACCCTGTCCTGCCTCTTCGCTGTCTGTTGCATCGATGAATGTGAAACGGTAGTTCAGCACCAGCGGCATGGAGACTTCGGCACCCACTGGAAGGCTGAAGCAGCTACAGCTCTCAGTACTGAAAGGAGCAGCTATGCACAGTCGGACTTCATCGAAGCACAAGAGTGTGTGTACATGTATCATGTACTTGTACATGTGTGTACCTATTTTGTATCTCCGCATGTATGTGCATACTTATAGCACATGAGTATGCACCCTATACACAACAGAAAACCACGCACGACTAGGTTTGTCACCTACCACATAATGAAACAGTCTAGACATCAGAAAGAAAATAAGAAAGCATGGAGAATACTTGAAAATTGGAGCTGCTTGCACAACCCATCATCTCCAGCAAAAGATTTCCCATTCCCGTAGAATCGGCATGGAACATGTGTAAGTGCAACCAAAACAGCAAGGACAGGCTTGAAAAACCACGTGCCATGCATAAAACCTCCTGGAAAACACGGGCCCCCATGACGTTGTGTACTCATACACAACTACCCATGTGTGCATGCATGCATGCATGCATGCATGCATGCATGCATGCAAGGCTGCATGCATGTTGTATGTCTGTCTGCACAAATATGCACATGCAATGACGGAACAGTCTGAATCTGCAGCATTTCGTCGAAGGCCCACCTCGTACTGAGAGGGTGCAGGCCGCTCGACATAAGAAGGCGGCGGTCCATGCGGCCTTGGACTCAATCTGAGTAACTCAAACTGAAACCTGTGCTATATGCATATTTAGATGTATCTACAAGCTTACGTTAATTTGGACGATGTCTGCCAATATGTACACATAACCTTAAGTATACATCAAGTATGCTGATGTATATATACACATATATGCACACACAGGAAAAGTGAAAGGGAGGTAGAGGCAGAGGTGGAGGTAGAGGTGGTAGAGGTAGCAACCAAGTGTCAAAGAGCCGAACGAGCACGGCTGCTGCATTGGCAAGCATCGCGATGGCCTGATGTCTACCTTGGCCCCCTCCTACCCCTACCGTACTGACTTCCTTAGGCCCTGGGCCCCCGTGCCCGTCTTAAAGAACTCTAAGGGGTCCTTTATAGAACTCTTCTGGGCTCCCGGGCCCGTCGTGGTACGAAGGCGGCGTTCTGGACGGCGCCTCGATGCGAACCTGCAAAACGCGTTTCGCAAATAGACCAGGGCACAAATAACAAGAACAGTAACAATGATATGAACAATCATACTAATACTATAAGTACTAGTATACTGATGATCATCGTGTTGATGCCTGCCAATAAAGACACGAATAATACTGATAGTAATATGAATACGGCATAATACGGCTAGCAATGCTAACAAGACTAATAGTAACACTCATAGTACTAACACTACTAATAGTACTACTCATAATACTATTAATAATACTACTAACACTAATACTAATAATACTGATAATACTAGTTACAATACTAACATTAATACTAATACGAATAGTTACAACTACTGATTATACGAGTATAATGATAATACGAATAATGACTAGCTTTTTGAGGTTATGGGTTATGGAAGGCTTGCTGGCTGTGCAAAGCTGTGATTTCAGAGCCTGTCCGTAGCCGGACTTCTCCGAAGGGGGCCGGCTGCCGGTGCTGCTCAAATAGCCTCGGTCGAGGCTTTGATGCATGCAAGCTCTCTGCTTTCCTGCACCAACCTGTAACATCCACACCGCAACCAGCTTCCACACTGAGATCCCTGCTGCCACCCAGGCTGTCGCCCATGTGCCCAACGCCTGGCGCCGGGCTTTCACGGCGAGCCCCAGCCCCAAACTCTCCGGAAATCCAAGAACGGATCATGGGCTCACTCCCAACCGACACCTGACTAACCGCTGACAACACCGGTGTGCGGATCCACCTGCACCACCACAGCTGGAAGGCGGCGGGCCGTAGCCATTCCTGCTCCCGGCTCTAGCAGAGACTCTGGCAGCTATCAGAGAGGGGTAGAGCTGGAAATTATGCGCCCTTGGCTGGTGACCTTGGGCCCTGATGCTTCTTTCTCCCTGACATTTATTGGAAGGAGCCTCCAACAACAAGCTTCGTGGAAAATCCACAAGAAAAGCTCTGCGAGGGGCTGCGAGGTGCAATTGAACCCCAAAACCAACAACTTCTTCTTGCCTTCAGGGCTTAAGCTCTTCGGGAAGCGGGCGTCCGAAGTCATTTCGGGGAGGGGAAGCCTCGAGACGGCAGGAGGCGAATGCCGCTGGTAGCCACCTGGGAGATGCTTTGTGGTAGATTGAAGAGATTGCAGGATTGAGGGCATGCATGGGAGGGTTTAGGGCATGAAGAGCTTGGGGTTCAGGGTGCTTCGATGCTTCGAAGACGATCCTGTCTGTCAGAAGAAAACCTAAGGAGCACGGTATGACCCGCATGTGTGATAATCATTTGGTTGAATACCGTTTGGCCAAGCACGAAGCTCTCATACTAATAATACTGTTGTACTAATAATAATGATAACAATACTACAAGGACTGATAATACTAACAATGCTAATAATACTACTGATACTAATTCTCGGATGATGCCAACAAGAATACTATTAATAATTTAAGGTGCTGGGCCGGCAGCATGTTGCCGGCAAGCGAGCTGAGCTGCCGACTCGAGCCGAATCCACCCGACGGGCCTCCCAAACGTCGGGCCGAATGATTAGAATAGGGCTCCTTTGAAGCGGTCTATATAGTGGCCTTAATAATTAGAATGGGGTTCCTTTTTAGGGGTTCTAGAAGAGGTCTACAAGGGATCTATAGCAGGGTTCTTTAATATAAGGGTCTCAATAGATAGAATAGGGTTCCTCTAAAGAAGTCTATAGGGGCTACTATAGGGGAAACCTCAATGACCCTCTGGCACCTTCACCCATCGGCCCAGATGGAGCCATCTGCGAGGGATGATACATGCCAGGCCCCGTATCCTTAGGACGAGGCTGCGCCGCTGCTCTGCCCAGGGCCCCGCGTGGACTCGTTCCGAAGCTGGGAGAGGCACATACTCGATGCTTTTCTTGTTCAAATGTTGGCCTGGCAGCAGTGGCAGTGACCCTGCCCCAACCCGGCTACGTCGACTCTGCCGAAAAATCGCTCTACGGACAAAAACCTGCCTCACCAGGCCTGGCAAGGCAATTTAACTAGCCAGCATCACCGTAGCTGCCCTGCATGTGAGGACTTTGCGCTGGCGGCCTGCCATGCAGGGAGCTTGCAGTGGCCAACTGCTCGTGGCTTTGGCTCTTCTCAGCCCTTAGGGGTCCCACTCCGCTCTGCCACGGGCCACTGTACCTTGTCGCCGGTGCCGGCTGCGGCTGCGGCGCATTCTCCGGAATGCCCTGGAGCACCGTCAAGTCCTTCAGGTCCTTGCCTGTGAAAGCCCACGATTAAAGAGGCAGTTTCCAAGAAGCCCTCCAGCGACATGAGGGGAGACGCGGGGCCGCGTCTGCTCTGCCTCGGAAGACGATGAAGTCGTAGATTTCGTTCGACACCGGGATCTCTGTCTGCCTGAGCTTTGGATGCTGGTCAAGTTGCATGAGATGGGCTTCCGCTGAGTGCCGTGCCCTCTGGTCTGGTCTGCTCTACCTTCGGTGCCGAAGGATCTCACGCTTTCTACCTGAGATCACAGAGATCGCGGGATGCCTTCAGCTGCGTCTGCTCTGAGCACTCGCAAGCATCTCTGAGCACTGGACGGCGATGGTTGATTCCTCCCGATTCAGCGTCCGAAGAAACCTAGGCATCTGACTGGGCCAGGGCAGCAGGGTCGGCTCTTCTCGCATCCACGAGTCGGAGTTTGCATCATGGCTTGAGAAGAGCAGCAAAAGTGCCGAGTGAAACCCGGAGAGACAAAGAGTGCGCTTGATGTGCTGCTGCGTCTCTGAGTGCAAGGCCCTTCGTATCGCATATCCGAGGTGGTAATCAAGCTGATCTTGCTCCCGATGTAGGGCACCCCACTCGACATGACCTCGAAGAACTACTGAGCTTCCGAATCCCACGCAGAACCGACCTCTGACCGTCAAGCTTCGAGGGAGCGGCTGGCGCAGTGGAAGTGCACACACCGAGTTCAAATTGTCAGGCAGCCTGGGTGTGGGGATTTTGCCGTTTTGCCTCGCCTCTGACGGTTCAATGTCTGATGTCCGGCTCAAGGCTCAAGGACTGAACCTGCGGGCCTACAGTTCGAAGTTGCTCCAAACTCCAGACCCGAAAATCCTTGAGAGCAGAGACCTCCTTTGCAAGGCCCTGGCTGTATCCACCTCGGGCTCGGCGCGAAAGGGACCCACGATTTAGTCGGCCTGCGAAGTTCCGATTCGACCCAAGGAGCCATGTTCTGCTATAGGGGCCTCAATAATCACCTATGCTATTTTGGGGCCCCTTAGTATGATTCTAGTATAATGGGCCCCAAAACCCTATTCTAATTACAACTGCCCCTATATTGCACGAGATTTGCGATTTGTGGTCTGCACCATCTGCACCTGTCATGATTGAAGAATCGCGCAGTGCAGAATACAGGTACGTAAGAAGCTTCGCTCACGGCATTCTGCTTGGGTTAATTTCAGATCACCACAGTCTTTGCAGTTTTTGCCCGTCCTCAAGGAGGTTGGGAGTCAGGTTGGGGAGCTCCGGGCGTGTGGTTCCGTGTATCTAGAACCTGAAAGATGGTGCAGTTTCGTGAATGGCTTGAGTTCCCGTAGGATTGCCCTGTTTCTGACCGTTCCATTGGAGGGTAGTTAGTCGGCCGATGCCACTCGTTGCTTCACCCTCGTCGCTACACACCACAGACCAAAATGACACTTGAGCTGCTGAACCGACAACCACAAGTCCAGAGTCCAACTCATGGACGCAAAACTGTGCAGTTTCGCAGCAAACTTCACAACGCGCAAGCAACGCCCACATGCACCTCTTCAGCACGCTAGCACGCTCGGACTGCTACACGGCACACCATGACTGAGCCAAATTGCTGCGAAGGCCTCGGATGATCGTCAGGCCACCATCAATGGCAGCTGATCGCCACGTGGCTCAGACTGTGCTACTCCGGGAAGCCTGTCCCAAAAACCTCCCGAAAGTTCCCAAGAAAATGCTGCATTTACGTCGAAGAGATTTTCGTCTCATAGCCAGCCACCAAAGGACATCCAGATTCAGACGGATCGGCGGACGGGTAGAGAAGGACCATCTTGTGACTCCAGCCTTGAGCTTTTCTACCCTACTTCCATGGACCGCAAGGGCACTGGGGTCACCAGACATCCCCGCTACGAGGAGGCAGCATAAAATGGAGAGCTGTGCTTGAAACATCTTTCCGAGACGAAGTGTCGCATGAGGAACTAAGCATCGCACGTCCAAACTGAAGTACATTCACGCCAGAGCTTTACCACAGAAACCAAACCTAGTCGATAACTGGTTGCATGGGCCGTCGGGGCAGCTCATCTCCTGAGTTACCCCTCTAAGTATTTAAACACATTAGCGCGTTTGGACGTGAATTCAACCTGCTCTCATTGAAAGATGTCATGGGGCTCTCCAGAAACAACTGCAGAAAGCCATGGCCAGGCACATGGCTGCAGCGTGCCAAGAAGGCTGCAGGATGTCTCAGGCGAAGTCAGTCTTGCCAAGGTGGCACCCGACATAATGGCTTCGACTCTGATGATGAACGAACGACATCTCTAAAGAGACACTTCTGCCTGAGCCGCCACAGCGCTCACTCTCAGAGAACTTACCACATTTGACCTGGGCTGCGATGGGAAAGTCGCTATCCAACTCTCGCGAAAAGAAGTCCCTCCGTTTGAAACGAGCCCCGACGTTCTCTGCCTTTCTGTGAACAAACCATCCGGCTCAGTCTTTACCATACAGCCGTGGGCAAAGAAGCTGCCACAAAGAGGTCAAGCTGCCCTTGCCGATACTTAGTCGCACTGACACATCTTTTCGAGAATGCTGAGGGCTCAGAACACTCGACACCTTCGGACACACTTGGCTCCAGGCCACTGTTGTACACGTCCACAATTGCATTAGCTTCCTGGCTGAAAGAGCACACACACTCGCATGCCCACGCGCCTTCAACCAACAGCGAACCGCTGTCAATGCAAGATGGGCGGAGCCTTTGCCGTCCTCCCCTTGTCGCGCGCGCTGAAAGTGGAGGAGAGCCGTCTGCACAGTGGGGCCGACTCTAAAGCTCGTGTCCTCCCCTGCCCCGGCCCTGCCCGGCCTGCAACTGCTGCAGAAAGTCCTCTTTGCCTGGCAACACCTCACCGCATGGCTCTGGCGGAATGTGAAATACTCAGACATGCAAGGGCTCTGAGGACAGCCACTGGCTTGGCTCCACTTCCCCATGCATTGACAGGGGTCCTGGCAATGCGCGAACCATGCACTGTGAACGTAGCATTATGTAGCGAGATCGTGTACCTGTGTCCGGTCATACTCCCTACAGTTGCCGACCTGGTAAACAAGCAGTTTCATGTCAATTTCGGCCAGCAGGACAGGTCGGAGAAGTGATGAATTGACTTGTTGCCTGACCTCACGGCTGTTCATGACACGAGATGCAACCGTTTACAATTTACAACATCTTCGCCGACCGAACGACCTCTTGCTCTCTATCGGATCCAGGTGCGCTGATCTTTCGGGCCCGAGGGCGGAGCGACTTCTGCTTTTCGTAGTCTTCCATAACAGCCTGTTGCAGCTCTTTGAATTGAAGCCTCTGTGCACAATGCTCCGCGCGCAGCCGAACCTGGTATCTCGATGAGATCCACTCGGCGGTCTCCTGCGCGTTGAATCTGGCCTGCGATTTCAAAGCGTGGGCGATCATGTCTGGTGCACAATTTGCTGATGCCGTTAATCACTCAGGACTTCAAGCCTTTTTGTCTGTCTACTGTCGCCAGGATGATCTCACGTGCTGCGCCCCCGGTCGCGTCCTGTTTTGGTCACATCCTGTTGACAATCGACAACAAAGAGGATCGACCTCCTGTCTTGGAATGGGCCAGCATCTGCATCACACATCTTCTCCTTTGGCACCTGCTTGCTAAGCGCAGCCGTGTCGGACGTATCGAATCCCTTGACAATAACGCGGCCGAACAGCGAGGATACAGGATGAGTCCAGACAGTCAAGCTGGCTCGTCTGGGGCATGGCTCGACCTCCGTACTGTCCACAGGTGCACGCTGCGATCGTAGAACGATGCTGAAGCTGCCAAAGACATCTCCGAAGAAGCCGCGAATTGCCAGGAAATCCCGTAGCCCAATGAGCCGTGCATACCTTCTGGCGCATCCGCGGCGTAGGCAGTCAGACACTCAAAGCCTACATCATCAAAACGGAACACGGGAAAGCCACAGCGCATTGCAGCGACCGCAAGGATGCCGTGCCACCGAGGATGCCATGTGATTTGGTATGCTCCGTCACCGAGTCGACCTGTCTTTGCCACCGGTTCAGCCGTCAGCTTTCGCAGATCGAAGAGACGGAGCCTTTCGTCATAGCTGCCGGACGCCACCTGCAACGGGTTGAAGGGATTGAAAGCCAAAGCCGTCACACCAGCCTCGTGGCTTCGGCGATTGCGAAGGGCAGGCGTGTCTGGTTCTCTGACATCCCAGACGGCCACATGACCATCATCTGCACCAGACAGAACCAGATCAGGCTCTGCGGGAGACACGTCAACACACCACACTTCCAGATCATGCTGCTGCTTCTCTGCCAGCTTGCGGAAGCCCGAAGCATCCAGCTTGAAGTGGTAGCATTTGCCATCCTGGCCCACTGCAGCCAGTCCGTCTGCACCAGCTCCAAAGCAAAGGTGGGTCAATATCTGCTCCGATAGATTGAATGCCTCGTGCAACACCCCACGAGTTTGGGAACAGAGCCTCACACATCCATCCGCGCAAGCAGTCGCTAGAACGCTGCCGTCAGGGCTCCAGGCAATGTCGTACACGCCAGGACTTTCTATAACCTGTGTGCGAAGAAGCGAATACCTGAACGACTGTTCTCGCAAAACAATGGAGCTGCGACGGATGTTTTCATGTCCCCGCGTGGACTATGTCACCCCGTATATATGCTGTACATGCAAAAAACCCATGCTCAAGTCTCGGTGACTAGGCACTGGTGCGATTCTTCACATCGCTCGACGTTTGCAAAAACAAGAGCTCCCTTGCGCTGATTGGTTTCCTCCACGTGCTCATACCTCGGCTGTCGCAGACCAGTGCCGATGCCCGGCAAGTGGATAGTAACCAAAGGCAGATACCGTTTCATGCTACGTCATGCTAGCCGGGGCACGTCAACCATGCTTCTACATCTGGGCTAAAGTGCGGTTCAGGGGGACCACAGCTGACAGCAACATAAGCCCCTATCATCTCAACATATCTCAACTAGGTTTTCTGACGTTCCTCCCGCAAAAGTCCAGAAAGGCGAGGGTCATTCCCCAGGCAAGGCAAGCCTCGTATCCGCATGGACAGAACTCGACGACATCCGGATAGCACTCGCAACTTTCGAAGACCTCACCTTTCAACTCCATGGTAGGTAGAGGATCCATCGCCCCGTGAAGGCTGTTCTTCCATGGCAGGTATCTTCAAGCCTTCGCTGCGCGAACATATCCGTCAAGCTCAACCGCTTCGCTGGAATGTTGATGGCTTCGGCCCTTCAACCATCCATCCAAGCGCGAGAAGGTGTAGTATGCAGATGTTGAAATCAGATCTCGGATATAACCAAAGCAAATCACTCATCAAACACAGTAGCTCCACGGAGCGCAAACGTCCGCTTCCGCATCATCTGAATCTGTCCAACCGTCTAGCCTTACTCAATACGCAAACCATCTGAGAGTCAACATCCACCCCGCCACATCTCTCGTGAAACTCGCGCCTGGCCCTCGCCATTAGATTCCTCCGCACTGCGGCTGGTGGTTTCCTGCACGGCATCACAGGACAAGGTGAATATCTCTTATACAGTATACATTTTGCAGTATGCAAGCTGCAAGCCCACATCGTATTTTCGTATGTATGTATATATATATATATAATACATATATATATATATATATATATGTACCCATACGTGTATATATATATATATACCATAGTTTAGGTATACACATAAATATCGAAATTGTGTATGTATTAACTTATTGAATCATGCACTTATACATTATATACATTGTACGTAAAGACATAAGTGCACCCGCAGACCCTGCAGCATCACAAAGAGACCATGATGTCATAGTCTGCATCTTCTAACACGTAGACACATACGCACAGGCACGTACATACATACATACGTACATGCGTATCACATATGTATGTTACCTATGTACAGACATACCTGTCTATCTACCTATCAGCTTCTATGTCTCTGTCTGTCTATCTATCTCTACGTACGTGTATACGTATGGATATATGTATGCATGCATGCATGCATGTATGTATGCATATATGAAAGTTTATGAATGTTTCCAATGTTTGATGCTTCGCGTATGTTGTAAACGCACATATACATGCTCATGTCTGTAGTGAACTCGTTTGCTTGCGCAACAACATACACGTTTATGAAAACATGCATATCTAGCTTGCACCGATTTGTAGATGACGGTTTAAGGAAAATAATCGTTGGAGGTCCTTTTCTTGGCGGTACCACGGATATTATATATATATATATATATGCATGTATGAACATATGTATATGTATACACAACATTGTATATGTATGAATACACAAGTACACAGCATATATATATATATGTGTTAACTTATTTATGTATAAATGCACAATATTCTGTACACCCCGTGTTGCATCATGAGCTTCACGCAGCAGCATTCTGACGCAAGTTGTAGCCTGAGAACTTTGTTGCCATCACGACGGCTCCCATGCGGCACCCGGCAGGCTTGGCAACTCGACATCTTGCTCCGAGTCCCCCAACCACCCCAGCATCCTCGAGAGATAAGCCTAACATCAAGTTGGCATGCCCAAGCGCCAAGCACATCAAGAAGTCCCAGTGCAACCATCTTGTATGCCAAGCCATCTAAATGGTGTGAGCGTCTGCATCAACAACATTGCACATGAATTGAAATGTAGCAATATGAGGCCTGGTATATCACGTATGTGATACACTCACGTGTGAATGAATGCCATATAATTACGCAACAGAATCCCTGAGAAGCGCGTTCTATGTTGTATGCATAACAGATACATAGTCTTTATGTGCCACCAACACCCCAGTAAGTGCGAGATGGTGATAAAACGACATCGCATGTGTACTATGCACTTTCTGTAAAATATCATAACCATGCATTGTCTGTAAGATATCATAACCAGAGAGACTAAGGCCCTATAGCGAACGTGTAATATCTTTATTGACTTGTACATCGCAGATCCAACATGATGCTTTTCAATTAGGGCTTCAATAAAACGTTCATCCTCAGGTCTGGATTTTTCCTAAAATCTGTAAATGCCCCGGTCACTAGGCATACTACATTTTGGAATTTATGTCCCAAAACTGTATCGCCAGTACATTGTACTCACATTTTCTGCAGAGAAAATCCATAGCAAAGAAACATTCCATAGCACGGCGACATAACTGTTCTTGAATATCAACTAGACAGCAGAAGAATATTGACGTAGGTGTTAGCTACCTTTGTACTAACTCAGTAGCTCTCTCTCTCTCAGTCGCGCAGAGCAAGTCCACAGGTGAGACTACTCGTCAGCAGCTCTTTCAGCTGATTTAACGCAAAACTTCTAACTGAGCCCAGGATCTACGGTTTTGAGCTAGCGGCTGTAGGGTCCTCCAAAGGTCAGTATTACCAAAAAATCTGGAATGGGCAGCAGCCACCTCTCTTTCTGTAGGATGGTGATAGATATCGTGGTGTATTTGGTAGGGGCGGGGAATAGGGGAATTCGAGGAAAGTATTTGATAGCGTTGGTACGCTTGCGTCATGGTCAATTCGGCCCAATGTGTGCGAGGGTGGCCAGGTCTTTTCCTATGGAGGCGTCTGTAGGCATGTGCTGTTTGGTAGGTGGAGATGTGTTCGATTGAATCTTCATGTCTGAGGATATGTCCGAGATAAGAGATCCGGGATGAAATGATATTCTGTGATGGAGACACAAGTTTGGGGGCATACTCATAGGCAAGCTGGGATAAATATTCGTTGGAGCATTCTGCCTCCGATGGTTCCAAGACTTTATGATAAAAGGAACTTTTGATGTTGAAGATCTGTCTAAGGACCTTGTAGTGTAGCTTGTTCAGTTTAGTGAGGTCAGGTTGTAAATACATCTGCGATTCCGAGCCATACAGAAGGATGGCCAACACGATCTGGGAATGAACTAGCAGCTTTCGCTTAATGGTTATGGAAGGGTGTTTAAAGAAGTCATGTAGACATTTGGCCGCGTGCGAGGCCTGCGCATATCGCTTTTTAGCGTCCGCTTTGGCGGCTGAGTTATGAGTTAGAACAGCTCCTAAGTAATCGGCGTGGGGTTTAGGATCTATGCGGAGTTCTTGGGGTAGCTGTGGGTTGCTTCTCGTGCAACAGAAGTCACATTGGCAAGGGTGGGTTGTGGTATCAGTTAGGTATACGGGCAAATCAGTGTTGATACAGAGAAGCTGGCACTTCTCGTGATTCAAGGACATGCCCCTTTTGTAAGAGTGGGCCTGTAATGTGTGAAGAAAACGGTGTAGGGACAGTCTCGTGCGAGATAATAAAACTGTATCGTCGGCATACTCTATATCTGTAAGGCGAAAATCGGTAGTAAGTACTGAAGGTCGGGGGCCATACTCTGCAACGTACGCTGTGTACGTGTCATGAAAAAGCACTGAAAGGGTAATGATAAACAAATACGGCGATAAGGGGCATCCCTGGCGGATGCCCTGGGCGAAGGCTTGCGGGCGGGACGTATAGCCCGCGTCCTTCACTCGAAAATGACAGTCTTCGTAGATTGACAGTACCGGATTAATGAATGTATCGGGGAGACCTACTCGCTGCAGTGCGTTGCGCAGCGCTGGGTGGGAGACTGAGTCAAAAGCCTGTGACCAATCAAGGAACAGAGCATAGAAGGATTCCTGGTGTCTTTCATGTAATTCAAGCAATCGTCGAAGGACGAATAGAGGCGTAGAGGTGGATTTGCCGGTTCTAAAACCGAACTGAACCGGCGAGATACGGTCATCAATAGCCGTTTTTAATCTGTCATGGAGAAGACAAGAATACAACTTGTAAACCGTGCTGATCAATGAGATGGGGCGGTAGCTTATAGGGAGAGTGGGGTCTTTCTTTTTACCCTTAAAGATCATCACTATGTCTGCCACCTTCCAGGATTTAGGCGAGATTGCCTGCGTAAAGGTTTTGTTAAAGTGCGCCAGTAGCGCAACATGAACCGATCTAGGCGCGAACTTCCAAATTTCCGCCGGCAATTGATCGGGGCCAGGGGCTTTGCGATTCTTGAGGCGCGCCAGCGCCCTTAATAATTCGGGTTCCGTAAATGGACTGGTGTCTATGGGGAAAATAGGTTCGGAAGGGAGTTCTGGGAGGTTTCTGTGATTCCAGACTTTAGTGGCTAGATGGCTAGCCAAGACATCGGGTTTAGCGGCTTTGGTGGACATCTGGCCATTAGGTTTGCGAATTCCTTGGGTTCTAGGTGTGTAATCCTTACGCAGAAATTTGAGAGTGGACCATTGCTTTGAGGGGGGGCCTTTAGAGTCTTGGAGCAGGTTATCGCACAGGTGTTGTTTTTTGTCTTTACGGGCACGTCGTTTGATGGCTTTTCGGAGTTTTTGCAAAGCTTCGTGATCATCCGGGGAGGAAATGCGATCGATGAGTCGTTTGGTCGGTTCCGATAAGTATTCTTTATGGTAGGTGCGTTCCTGTTTGGTGCGGGGCGCTATCTTCAGCGCAGCTTCCTGGAGCGCTGTGGCTTGTTCTTCTACAGAAAGTTTCTCGAATAGGGGTGGGGCGGAAAGACGTATGGTATCGCTCAAAGGTTGTCGGGGAGGGTAGGAATGCCTCCCGATTGTGGAGAAGGAGGTAACTCCTTTCTTGGCTAAGGTGTCGGCGCGCTCGTTTCCGTCGTGGCCCGAGTGTCCTTTGATTTTCAGTAGCGATACGGTGATTCTGGAGAGAAGGTGGTCCAGGAGGATGCGTAGTTTGGTTAAGAGTTGAAGGTGTTGCGTGGGTATGGAAAGGCCATGGAGAAAATCGTAAGCGAGCTGGGAATCGGTATAAACGTTAAGAGCAGAAATCGAAAGATGGGTTTTGTGTCTGGCGACATAATCCAGTGCCTCTAATAGTGCCTGTAGCTCGGCGGTATTGTTAGAGCCCACGACTTGTAGCTTTAAGTTGTGGCCCACTGGACCCCATGAGTCAGTCCAGGTATTGTTGTGATGGATTGTGAAGCCCCATCCGGCTGGGTTGCCTACTCGAACATTATATTGATCAGGGCAAGCACCGTCTGTGTATACGCAAGGCGCGTCCAACACAGGGGCAGTGCCTAAGAAGTGGACTGGCTGTTGTGTTACTTGCGCAAATGCTTCCGCGAATTCTCGCTTAAATTTGAGTT